CGGAAGACTTTTTCAGAGCTGTCTAACCCTAGATGCACATGGTCCACGTGGCTCAGCCTAGCCTGGCCCTGAGGCCTCTGAGGCCTCACTGATGCTCACCTCAATCCTGCCTTCCTGTACTTGAACCCTGAGCCTTGCAGATGCAGTGTCTCCTGTGCCTAATTTTCCCAGTTACAGGGCTCTAATGTAGCAGTCAGTGATGCAGGGCTCGGCTCTGGGGCCAGACAGGCTTGTGGTCTAGCCATGGCTCTGTCACTTACAGGCTGCATGACCTGGGTCAAGGTACTTAACCTGTCTGAGCCCGACTCTTTGCTTTGAGCGTGGAGATAGCAGTAGTGCCTCCCTCACAGGGTTGGTGGGAGGAATAAGTGAGAGCATTATAGATGGTGCTTAACACAGTGCCTAACTATGGTAAGCTCCCAGTGTATATTAGCTGTTATTATTACTGTTCTCTTAGCTACAACCTATCTCTGACCTCAGTCACTCTTTTCCTCGGTTACTGAAATAGTCCCAATCCAGTGGACCAATCCAGTGTTCTGGGCCCTGGGGGAACTGGGTCCCTGCCCCGCCTTCATTTCCCCTCCATCAGGTGGTACCCGAAGTGTGAGGCACTGTGCCAGCCCTTCGTGGGCCTCCTGCTGACAGTGCCTCCCATGTTAGCCTATCTTTGACTGCAGCTTGCGTTTCCCCTCCTCAGACCTCCTCCTTTTCGTCTGCGTGCTTCAGTCTGGCATGCAGAGCCTGCCACAGGGTGGCTGTCCATTATTGAGCACTATTGTTGAACCAAAGTTTCTCTTTCACTCTGCTGCCTGCTTGGTTTCCTGGGCCTCAGTTTCTTCATCCTAAAATGTGCTCATAGAACCCACCTCCTGGGGATTAAATGAGTTAAGGTGTGGGAAGTGCTTAGAGCAGGGCCTGGCACCTTGTGAGGGTTTTATTATTCTTCCTCGTGTGTCTTGAAACGGCATTATGCACTCTTAACCCCTGCACTTTTGCTCATGTTAACACCACATGGCATATATGTCCCTCTCTCTCCATTTTTTCATAGCCTCCTAATCTGAGGCCAGGCGTCTGCTTCCTTAAAACCTTCAGAAACCACTCCAGGTACAGGCGTTCTTCCCTTTTCTGATCGCTCATAGTACTTAGATTTTGGTCCTGTGTTTTAAAACCATTTATTAGAATAGACATAAAGACAAGTGCACGTATCGTAAGTGAATAGCTCACTGGATGACTGTAAACTAAACACACCTGAGCAACCAGCGTCCAGATCCAGAAGCAGAATAGTCCCAGCACGCCAGCACCGCCACTCGATAGCATGTNTCCCCAGGCCCGCCCTCTGGTTTCTGGATCCCCAGAGAGCTCAGGGTTGAGCAGCCTTTCTCTCTCCCTCTCCCTAGATGAGGCCAACTCAAGCCCCCTGCTGCCTGGGGCTCTGAGCTCCCACTATGGCATCCCAGAGAATAACAGCCTACTGGGCGGCAAACCTGGGCCCCTGATGAAAGAGAAGCCCAAGCGGAACGGGGGCCGGGGCCTGGAGGACGTGCGGCCCAGCGTGGAGAGTCTCCTGGATGAACTGGAGAGCTCCGTGCCCAGCCCTGTGTGAGTATTCACAGGGCTCGCCCAGGCAGGGAGGTCTCATCCAGCCAGTGCCCATGCTCAGTGTCTGCCCACTTAGCCCCCTTGTCACCCATTCCCTCCACAAGTCCCTGTTGTCTACCAGGCCCTGCACTAGGCACTGGGGGATAGTGGGGAGGCACATGGGTTCCATTCCTGCCTTCAGCAAGCCTGCCATCCATTAGAAAAGACAGACATTGTGCACGCTGAGGGCGCCTGCAGCTTAATAGCTGTCAACACAGGCTTTGGAGCCACACAATAGGGTTCAAACCTTGAGGCCGCCCTTATCAAGTGTCATCTCTCAAGCCTTAGTTTTCCAATCTGTAAAATGGGATTAAGGCCACCCGCCTCAACAGGGGTGAGAACCAATCATACATGTAAAGCGCATTGAATGGTTCCTGGCTCATAGCACATGATGTACACGGTAAGTGCTTTCTAAATGTTAGCTCATCTCAGTGTGACCCTGTCTTTGGAACAATCGCACATGCACTTGCAGAGCTGTGGAGGGTACGCAGGATATTCGGGCTTGTTTAACAATCTCGAACTTGGGCTGGAAGGTCAGAGGCATCTTCCTGGGAAAGATGCCGTTTGAGCAGCCGGCTCTCTCTTCTCCCACCTCAGCTCACCTTGGAGCTCTGTCCCCCTTGCTGACAGAAGCTCGCTCCCAACGATGGGTTCCCCAGGAGAGATTGGGAGCCGGTGGGCTTCCCACGGGTTGGGGGTGACAGGACCCCACTGTCAGAGCTGACATGTTGATCCCCTGAGGAGGGGAGGGCCGCTCTGGGGGAGCCTGGGGCTCAGCTCTGTGGTTCCCGCTGATGTCCTGCCTGCCCTGCAGCCCCGCCATCACTGTGAACCAGGCAGAGATGAGCAGCCCTCAGCGAGTCACCTCCAGCCAGCAGCAGACACGCATCTCGGCCTCCTCTGCCACCCGGGAGCTGGACGAGCTGATGGCCTCACTGTCGGATTTTAAGGTACCTGGAGGCCCCTCTTCCCTGCCCTGCCCCCTTTCTCTCCCCCAGCTTTCTCCTCTTGTACCTCAGTGTGAGTAGTGGAACTCAGCCCCTCAGTTTGGATACCTTGCCTCAAGCCAGGGAGTCTGCAGTGTCTTGGCCTTGCCAGGGCCCGGGGCAGGGAGGGCCAGGTCAGGCTGGTGGGGACTGAGCTGCCTTGCAGCCTGGGAAGGCAGAGAAGCGCTCAGCAGGGACATTCCTTCCCCCCGGGTGCTCCCAGCTCCCAGCCACCCAGGGAGGGGATCAGGAGGCTGGGACAAAGGGCCCTGTGTTGATGGCTGCTCTCCGTGGGGGAGGGCATTCTCTGCTGGGCCATGTGGGCCTCCGGGTCCTGTGCCTGAGAGGTCATTTGCCCTGGAGCCCCATCTCCCACACTGGCTGTCCCCAACACGTCTTCTTTCTTTCTTTCTGCCTCTGGCTTTTGAATCCACAGGCCTCCTTTACCAGGCTTCTGTCCCGTCCCCTCTCCCTCCACGGGCCTCTGAGTCCTCACAAGTTCTGTCTGTGGGAAACCTAACCCGTCAGGCTACTGGGCCAGTCCTGCATGCGGCACCCCTTCCCCTCCCCTTCCAGGCCTCCCGGGCCTGCCAGGCCCGAGATGTTTTATTGAAAAGATGCGGTGCCTCCATGGGATTGATATTGACCGAGCTCTCCAACAGTTGCTGACTGCACTCTTTCATGTGGGTCGACCTTTGGCGCATGACTTAGGGAATCTGAGAAGGGGAGCGAGTGGTCCGTGCACTGTGGGCCCTGATGGTGCCTCCAAACCTCCCTTTAGCTGGGGTTTCATGGTGGGGGGTGGGAGTGGGCCTGAGGGGAGGGCCGGAGCTACTGATCGTTCTGAGCAGCCGAGGTCAGGATCAAGTCGGTTGGACCCAGGTGTTGACCTAAGGGAGCCCCGCCCGAGCACCCCTGAGAGCGATGATGCCTTCTGAGAGCCAGCATCGTGATGCCCCGTGAGAAGCTGAGCTGGTTCTCTCTGTGCCCCTGGAGCAAGGCCTTGGGCCTTGGGGGAGCTGGGTTTGTCTGGGAGCGACCAAGCTGAGAACCAAGCCAAGGTTGGAGAGGACAGAGCAGCTGCCTGCGGCTGACCCTCCCTTGATGGGGCCTGGGCTGACCTCCTTGGTCACCTGTCTCCTGGGTGGTCACCTCACCGTAGTCTTTTCTCCCTCCTACCTACTCTGACTGGGGTGGCCTCGCAGGCTTTGCTCAGTGGCTGCTTTCTGCTGCCCGGGTTTGATGGGGGCCGAGGCCATGGAGCCCAGGAAAACCTTGTTGGGCATCCTGCATCAGCTTTGCAGCCTCCCCGGTCAGTGTAGATTAGATGGTGGCTCTCCGAGCCCTAAGGCCGAGCCCGCCCCTTGCACTGAGCAGCTTTCCTCACCTCTCCCATCTCTCTCTCCTCTCCCCTCTGCCTTTTGTCTTTCTCCTCCTCCAGACCAGCTCCTCTGCTGTGGCCTTGAATTCCCTGGGGCCGCTGCCCAACTCAGCTCCATCCTCACACCACATACTTCCTTCTCCTCCTCCTCCTCCTCCTCCCTCTGCTCCTGGGCCCTCTGTTTTCTTGCCATCCATGACTAAGCCCTCCCCTGGAGGCCACGGTCACACCCAGGAGGTTCTCTGTGTTGAGGATAATGATAATGGACAGGGCCTTTTACCAGCTGTGGCCCCCAGCTGGCTTAATTTGGCTGGCCTCAGGGCGACTGCTGGCCTCAGAGTAACACCTGACACCCCCAACTCAGGGTTTCCCTCTGTGGAGGATTCTCTGGGGCCATGTGGTACAGAGAGTCAGGCTCGAGTGTGGAGAGGTCTACCAAGCCTCACAAGTGAGGGCTCCAGGGCTCCCCCCAGCCACACTCTACCCGGAGCTGGGTGTGTAG